AGGGAGCTAAATGTATATGCTTTTGGTTGCTGCACTGTTGTGTGGTCCTGTACTGCCTTCCCCAGCTCCCCACCCTGAGGCTGATGGATTTGTTTCAACACATGGTTTATGACCGTTTTCACTGAGACTTGTCAAAAATGCTGGGAAAGAAGCGGGTGTGGCAGGAGAATGTAGTCCTTGGGCTCTGGCTTCTACATTAGACCCTGACTAATAGGTGTTGAATAAGTGTGAAGCCCATCCAAAACACAACTGCTGGAAGGGAAAGGAACTTTTGTTTTCTTTATCTTGAGGTTGTTAGGGGGATCTCTGTCCCTTCCCAGTTTCCTTGTTTCTGGCCTAGCCTCAGCAACTTGGATTAGGTAGCTTGTTGCTTTTGCAAGATCTATCCACAAGAGGGAAATGAGAAAAAGATATTTATGAGCATCATTGCTTCCCAAAGAACTCTCTACAGCTCTAATAAAACCAAACCATATCTTGTTTTGTTCATTCTGCAACACACTCCTGAGAGTAACTAGCAGGAGCAGCAAATAAAGAGATGTATTTTACTGTAGATTCAGGAAAGCCACTCATAGTTGGTTGGGAACTGGAAAATTTTCCTTGTAACTGTTAAGGGGGGGAGCGCCCCCCCTCCCCCCCCCTGCAAATTAAGTGAAACTGCATAACTATATGCAGAAACTGATAGGCTAGGTCTTCCTATTTGTCAGCCAAGATTGGTAAAGCCCCCAAAAAAAGAACTTTTATTTGATAGACATATAGCAAATAGCTTGGTAAAATTATAGACTGAGATTTTGAATGAATTTTACCAGATCTTGTGGAACTCCTTCTAGCCAAAACCTATGAAAATAAATAATGCATTTCATAGAATGTTAATGCAAATAAATAGAAATCTTCAAAAGATTATCAACCTACTGGATAGCATCTGCTGTTTCTGTGGTTGATTTAACTAGTGATTCTCCACCTCTTGGCCCCCGAGTTAAATGAGTGGCATTGAGCCAGCCTGCATGCCTGGACTGGGCTTCACATGCCCAAATCGGGCCCCATGTGTCAGGATTGAACCTTGAGGCACTACGCTGTCTCTTCTCACCCTTGCGCACTGGGATCAGGCCTTGGTAACCCACCAAGCCACCCCACCCCCTACCTAGCCTTGCACATCCAATCTATTACATAGGGCCATACTACCCTGCCCATGGGGCTCCACACACGGTCTGGAAATTTGGCACCTGGGCTGGAGTGCCACTACTCTACCAGCAAATTTTTGGACTTGTGGGTAGTCCGTGACTACTTTGGTCAGTGAACAAAGGCAGGATCTAAAGAGGGAGTCTTGTTTGTCAGACTCAGATCAGTGTAGGTGGATCACATTTCTTCACTTTTGAGGCTAATCTAAACTTTATTTGCATTTGATAATTTGTATTTGATTCTTAACATTAGATTGGCTCCCTATGGTCATTTATACTAGCTCAGACCCCTGACTCTTTGTGAATGTGTTTTCTTTGTCTAATTGAAATATTTCTAACAGCTTAAGCAAATCCCTTTACTGCCACTCTGTCCTCCTGACAATGACAAATGGTTCTGACAGTAGTCTCCCATTAATGACAAATTCTCCAGTGCAGCTCAGTAGGTGGCAGTTTTTCCATCTTTCCGCGTTTGTAATTTGACCATAATGTGGCAAGAGAGGCTTCTTTTATGACTCCTGTTGATAAATCACCTTATGCTTGAGCCAAAAGGAAATGTTTAATTGTGTAAAAGTTTGAGACTCCTAATATTTGAAATCATAGTTGAAGTATCTTGACTAACTTTAGGGTTTTTTTCCCATCAGTTGAATAAATAATAGATTTTGACGCAAATATGACAAGGGTCATAGATTCCTTTTGATCCTCCCGCACTATGTTGACATAAATTAAAATATTTTGGCTGAAAGACCGATCAGAGTTCAGTAGCATGCAGCTTAGACTGTTTAACTGAAGTCCCCATTAAATGCCCACCTTTGCCAGCACTTGACACACAGTGATCTCATGTTTTGCAGTATATTTTTATATTAGAATAAGAAAAAATAAAAACTGTGGAATAAAAGGTATAGTAAATATAGATAAGTGTTCTGGCATATGTTACCAATGATACCATGGTGTCCATTGCACTGGGAAATAACATGTTTAATAAATGGTTTTGCCAACTGACAGCTTTCTTTTTAGTTCTGCATTACTAAGTTATCTTCTCCTACATGGGGCCTTGTCACCTGATGCATTTATACTAGCATAAAAAAGAAGCAATTTTCATAACAATTTACACCAGCATAGGTGTCATGTCCACTTCTATCCTGGGCTAGCTAAGGCAAATAAAGAGTTAGGTGCTTTTAATGGGATGGTGCTGTAATAGTGTCTGCTGTGGTGGCTACCCAAGGCTAGTTGGTCATCTGTCTGCTTCAGGAACCAGTGTCCTCCCTCTGTTGATCTCTCACAGACTTCGGTTTTTTCCCTCACTTGTGTCAATAAATAATAATGTCATTAATTTTTCTTCACGCGCACACAAAGCTATTCTGTCACTGTCCCCTTGAGATTAGGGGTCTGCTTTTCTTTGCAGTTACAGATGGTACAAAATAAAGGCCCGGTTCTCCCACTGAAGTCACTTCTTTTATACCATTGGTATCTGAACTCGGAACCAGCCCTTGATCATGGCTCACACTGAATTGCTCTAGTATTTGAATGTATTGTTCTGTGTGCTGCACTTTCACTTGTAGCATAGCAGAGATGATATTTTAATGTTAGCTATTTAAAAATAAGCTGGAGAACAATTGGATGAAGGCACGGGGGGGGGGTCCTCCTTTTATGTAATACTGCGTTGAACAGTTAAATGCACTACGTTATAGCGTTAACAAAGCATGCCATGTACAAGTACTTGAAGTCCCGTTCCTTTGTTATGATGAAACATACTGGTGCTAATTTTTGACAGTTCCTCTAGTTTTTCTAAAAGGGGACAATGCAGTGTTAGGCAAGTACTAATTTTTCTATCACGCCACCATAAACCTACATAACTGGAGCATTCCCCTATGTGGAGGTTTTTGCTTCTCCGTTGAGAATGCAGACTTAGGCATCATTAACTACATGTGTGCGCCAAAATAAAATGTGTCAGGACAATTCCCATATACGTCAGGCATCCAGATGCTACTGCAGCTACAGCTGTCTGAACCCTGAAGGGTCCTGTTAGCTCTGGGCTGTCTAACTGAATCATGCTGTTTCAATTGGCAAGAACTGGCACCAAAGCAACCCTTCCTGGCTCACTTGGATATATGGGTTTGAGGACTTCAAGCTTCTCACTTCCTCTAGAGTTCATGTATGCCTCCTGCCCTTACCAGATACCCAAGCATCTCATGGTCCACACCTCTGAGTGAGGCCGAACCGCACCCTTTATCTTGTCTAAATCAAGCAGCCTCCCAGTAACCCGAGAGGAGCCTCAGTCTGAAAATTTCCTTTGAGGAGAGGACTTTCTTCCCTTTCCACAGAGCTTAGTATAATACGTTTGCTACACTGGCCACAAGCTGCCAGCCACGTGAAAAGGAAACTGAAAGAAGACTTGAGATCCTTAAGGGTATCCTGTCTTGCAGGATACAGTTGTTAGAAAATGCGTGAGTTCCTAGCCAATGCACTAAGTGTTATTAGAGTTGAGCAGTATCTGAGGCTGGCAGCAACAAGGCTGAATTATGGTCACAAAGCCTCCTTTTAAGAAGCAGGAAAAAATTGATGGTTCTGAAGTCTTTTAGCTTGCACCAGTTATCCTGCGTTGGTACCATATAGTAACTACAGTGGTATTGCTGTGGGGTTCCATGCCTCAGTAAATTAATAGAGACCATGTTCTCTTACAAATAAAATGCAGATTACTTTTTTTTTCTTTTTTAAATCATCCATCATAAAAATACAATCTGGGGTCTGAAAATCATGCTGGATTTTTTTCTTTACTTTATATCAGCACCAGTCATAGATTGTCTAGATCTAATTATGTCCTTTGGTTCCCCAGGTGAAACACTATTAGTTTGCCTTGTGATATTGCACAGGTGTAAGTATGAGCATAATTTAGGCTGTAGATTTATTTTTTCTGAGGATAGTGGATGAGGGAGACTGTACGTGATGTGATAATTTGCGGGTATGTTAATTTAAGGGAGAAGATGCCTTATTTTCTCCCTTTGATATTTTAACGTAGTGGTCCTGAGCTACAAGAAAAATTCATAGCATCCATTTTAGTCACTTTGCAGAACAGGGTTCCAATTAAATTGTTTGCTGGTGACAACGTGCGATGAAGTGAACTCGGGTTCACAAAAGCTTGTATTTTCTCTCTATATATATCTTATTTAGTTAGTCAGTCTATAAAGGTGCATATCTGTTTTGCCTTCTGTTAAATCCATGGCCACCCACCAGGATTTGGTATATGTAGGTCACAAAATTCTGGAAGATACTTGAATCTAGATCCCCAAATAACGAGCCCTTGTTTCAAGGTTCTTTGGGTAAATGTGATATCTTTTATTAGACCAACTAAAATAGCTGGAAAAATTGTTCTTTGCAAGCTTTTGGGTACAAATCCCCTTCTTCAGCAGAATGGCTGTCCCTCTGCCTAAAGAAGAGTTTTTGTACCCAAAAGCTTACAAAGAACAATTTTTCCAACTATTTTAATTGGTCTAATAAAAGAAATCACATTTACCCAAAGAACTGTCTGCCCATGTCCTTAGACCAACACAGCTACAACCAACACCCCTGAGTCCTTGCTTTAGCCTTACCCCACCACAAAAATGCAGATGATGGAGAAATATTCCCAATATTGGTTTGCATCAATCTCTACTCTTGAGGAACATCCCACTGAACTATTCCAGGAGATGGACAAAATATTGATTGTGTTGTTGCTTTTTCTGAAAGTTCACACAAAACGCTTTCCTGATGATGTGATATTTGTAGAGTTGGACACAAACACTGTATTGGTTTATCTTTTGTTTCATGGAGCTTTCTTTCTCTCACCAGTATGCCAAGGAACAAGTAACAAGCTGACACAGCTGGGGAATCTGGAGGACCATTTCATCAGCCTGCAGAGGATGTATAGCAACTGTGAGATAGTGCTTGGCAATCTGGAGATAACGTATGTGGAGCGCAATTATGATCTCTCATTCCTGAAGGTTAGTGTAGTTAATCATATTACTCCAATCCAGAACACAGACAAAAAAACACATGCCTATGAGATTGGCACAACTTCCTGAAATGTTTAACTTGGTTGGGATATTTTTGCACAATGCAAAGTTACTTGCTTATGGAATTTCACTGTGCTTTGAAGGTGAGATATGTATGAAATGATGTGCAAAGTTAAGCACTTTTCGAGCACACAGCTGCTGTCAGTTAGACACATCAGAGACTGGATATTTGAAATACCTGCATGCTGTAGGAGAAGCCATATAGGTAAATAGCAATTTTGAGCTCCAAGCTGTTCTGTAAGGCACTTTGAGGAATGATTTTGTAGTGCCTAATGAGCTGAGTTTCTGCCAGTCAACCACTGCTTAACAATAATGCTTTTTAAATTGAAAGTTGTATTGCACCTCTTTC